GATATAGTATACAGGGTAGTATCAAAATGTTTTGTGACCAGTTTTGTAACACGCCAACAGATGGCAGCACCAGACTGCATGCACAGTCACAGGGAGCAGCAACCTTCATAAGTCAGTGTGCCAAAAGACATCGTCCTGTGCAGGGGCGGACTGACAAATCATGGGGCCCCCCGAGCAATAGGGGACCTTGGGGCCCCTGTGTCCTTTCCCAAACTCAAAAAAGCCTATGAAAAAGGTACCAGGGACATCTCATGGGGCCCCTTACTGACCCCGGGCCCTCGGTCAATGCCCGAGTTTCCAAATGGTCAGTCTGCCCCTGGTCCTGTGTACATTGGGAGCTGTGCAACTGGTGCTATTCTGACCACGTCCGTTACCATGTTTGCTATTTCATTATGGACAGCAAGTTAGAACAAATCGCAAATGTGAAATTCTGTGAGAAACTGGGCAAATCTGCCACAGAGACGTTTGACATAATTTGGTCAGTTTATGGCGATGCTGCAGTGAGTCATTTGAGTTGCCTTGAGTGGTACACGCATTTTAAGAGCAGAAGAACATCACTGGAATACGACGAGAGATCAGGAAGACCTTCAACGAGCTCATCCCCAGAAAATGCCCTCTTCCTAAGATGAAAATCCATATCAAAAGCTAGCCATTTTGACAACACTGTGGAGATCCAGTGATTTGCCCAGTTTCACACAGAATTTCACATTTGCTCTTTGTTGTCCATGAAGAAATAGCAGATGACTTATGAAGGTCAGTGCTCCCTGTGACTGTGCATGCAGACTTGTGCTGCCATCTGTTGGCATGTTACAAAACTAGTCTCGAAATGTTTTGATACCACCTTGCATATCAGCAGAGGTCAGTCAGCCAAGCCAGTGAAAAGTAGTGATGAGTTCAGGCTGAACTGTGTTGTTGTCATATTAGGGCAATGATGTCATTGGCATCCTTGCCCCTTTGCTAGGTTGGGATGCGGTAACAGCCGGTGGCCTGCTATCATGTGACAGTTTCCTGTGCGTTAACATGTTTGGTGAAGAGTATAGAGTACATTTCCAGACCACTGATCAGCACTACAGGTAGAGGTGCCCCAGATATCACATTAAAGTGGATTAAGGTAAATTAAGGTGGGTTTTTGAGGGTCAACAGATTAGGAAGGAGCAGGGTGGGGGTGATAAATGGGACTTTTTTTTTTTTTGTCTTAGTTGGGCAAAAGCAATGAATGGCCATGAATGCTCAAAAACTGTTTTCTGGTTCCAGTTTCCCTCCATTAGATGACATAAAGCTACAATATATATAATAAGACAACATTTCAGGTATCCAGAGTAGACAAGTGCCTCCTGCCAGCATTGTTCTCTGTGTTGAGGACCTCTTCCAGCATTGGAAACCCCAAGAACAAGAATCTCCCAACTATAACAATGCCTCCTTCTTCTGCCCTGCTGTGAACAGTATTGCCCAGGGTGATAACAACTCCCCACCAGCAATAGACACGCTAGAAATGGTTATCTGAACACTACTGCCTTTCATCGATAACCTGGTACCTGACGTGTTTGCGGTTTCTCCCCATTCCATGGATGCCAACACAAATGCCTGGAACATTCTCACTGCCCTAAGGTGGCCTTAAAGTATATCTGAAGCCAAGACTTTGTTTGTCTTTGGTTGGAAAAGGTATCTAGGTTGGATCACAGCTGCTTGGCTTCCTTTTGGAACTCCTTCGAAAAGACACCTTGCTTGGTTTCCATTATGGGTGGTCATGCATCAAGATTCCCAAGGAAATGAAAGCAGGGGGCAGGGTTCTCCAAACTATGGCCCTCCAGCTGTTGAAGTAGTACAAGTCCCATCATGCCTTTTGCCTCTGGGAGTCTTACCTGTGGCTGTCAGAGTCTTGCAAGGCCCCATGGGACTTGCAGTTCCTCAACACCTGGAGGGCCATAATTTGGAGACCCTTGGTCTAGAGCACAGGTGTCAAACTGGTGGCACTCTAGCTGTTGCCAAACTACAAGTCCCATGAGGCATTGCAAGATTGACAGTTACAAGCATGAATCCCAAAGGTAGAGGCATGATGGGACTTTTAGTTTGGCAACAGCTGGAGGGCTGCCAGTTTGACACCCCTGGTCTAGAGCACTGGTGGAGCACCGGGGCTCATAGTCACACTTGTAGCCAGTTCCCATCTTCTCCCCAGCAAAAAAACGTATGCTTCATGCTGAGCCTTCTGAAGCAGGCCATAAATTATGTGATTTTTTTTCCTTACACCACATGTAGAAGGAAAGAAAATCACTCGATTCCCTATCAAGACATTCAGTGTTGATGCAGGAATATCCCCCGCAATTGTGTTCTGCCAGCAGGGAGCCTTCCTGGCCAATGATGATAAATAAATAAAATAATATTTAACGGCCCAGTCCTGGGTCAGGATGGGAGAAAAGGGCAATAGATGGAATTGGGTTTAACCTCCCTGGCGGTATTCCTGAGTGTAGCTCGGGGTAAAGTTTCAGCACCACAAGCGGTAACCCCGAACTACACTCGGGAATACACTGCAGCATTGCTCCGGGATCTCTTCTTCACTTACCTTGTCCTGCGCTCCCGCAATGTCCCCCTGCAGTGTCCCCTGTAATGTCCTCCGGCTGATGCCGGCATCCGTCTTCTGGGTTCCGTCCCCCGCGAGCGTCGGGACATACGGGGGATGGAACTGGCGGGAAATTTAAAAATGTGAAAAAAGTGACATTCACTAAATACACTAAAATCACATAGTATAACATTCCTGTATCAAACCATTTCACATACATTTTGTCCCGAGTGCTTTGTCCTGTGCCCTGCCTGCATTGTTACTGTTCTTTCTGCCTGGAAAATGAGAAATGTCCATGGCGTCCAAAAAGAGTCCCTTTAGGTCAAAAGCGGTTTTAGACCGGCTAGAGAACAGCGATAGTAAATTAGAACCACTTGCAGAATTGAGTGATAATGATTTGTGGGGGAAATTCGTCATGAGCCGCTGAAAACGATTTTGCGACTAAGATCAGCGATGTGCGAACTTGGCGCTATATTTCAAATTTCAGTGTTTTTGGTTTGATTATATTATTGAATTAAATTTATTATTATTATATTATTATTTTTTATGATTATTTAAATTATAATTTATGATTTCGTGTTTAAAATTTTATCCTACCCGGGATGTTTACTAGACTCTTGTTCGGACAGATTTCAGTGAGTTATTCCTAAAAATTACAGGCCTACAATAAAAAAAACTACATAATTCCATGCACAAAAATGTACCGCTTTGAGCACAGAAATACTGACATAATCAGACCACGGAGGCTACGGTGGTTTTTGAAGGGTGAAATGGTCCTTAACCTCTTGCCGTCCGCCTGCTGTTTATAAACGGCAGGGCGGTGGCACTCCAGGGGCGGGTTGCTGTTCATAAACGGCACCCGCCTTTTCTAGCTGTGCACGCTCCTTGGGAGCGTGCAGCACTGCGAATCCGGTGCCCGCTGTGTCCTCCACAAACACTGATCGTCGGATGGGACCTCTGTACGAGGTCCCGATCATGTGATAACTGATAGGCCAATCAGTGATCACATGCAAAGTAGTAAGCAAGATGTCACTTGTGACATCATTGCTTACTACGTGTGAAATCTGTGAATGATCACAGAGGTCACATGGTACAAGGCTATTCACAACACCCTTGTACCATGTGACAAGGTGTGACCAATCACAGCTCACTCAGTATTTCTCAATGGCTGCAAGAATGCAGACAGAGAGAAAGAGAAATGATTGCTTTTACATCCTATATGGGTGTAAAAGCAATCACTGTAAAAAAAAAAAAAAAATCTTCATCACCCCCACAAGTAGTACAGTGTCACCATGGTGACACTGTACTGCTAGGGTGACAGTATCTAAAGAAAAAAAAACCCATAAATAATAATATAAAAAAATAAAATAAAAATGTAACAAAAAGTTTAAAAATTATAATTTTTGGTTATAAACTAATTTGGCTTATTTTTTTTTTTACTAAAAATATAACGGAATACATTTTGGTCAAGATTTATGATGAAAGATTATTTATTTTCAAAAAGTTTTAAGAAAAACACTTTTTAAAAAAAATTTTTGGTCATTTTCATTTACATAGCAAAAAAAAATAAAAATCCCAGCGGTGAATAAATACCATCAAAATAAAGCTTTATCTGTCTCAAAAAAATGGTAAAAAATTCATATGGGTACAGTATTGCATGACCGCGCAATTGTCATTCAAAGTGTGATAGCGCTGAAAGCTGAAAATTGCCCTGGACAGGAAGGGGGTAAAAGTGTCCGGACAGGAAGTGGTTAAATAGTTCTTGAGGGTTACAGAAGCTCTTTTCAACATTTTAAAATTGTATTTTATCTTTAATTATTATTACTACTGGTGCTGACTTCATTAAATAGACGTATTTCTTTCTAGGTGTATGCTGAGATATACAGTGGTAGCTTTCTGTGGCATGGCTGTGTTTACAAACAAAGCTATGTGAATACTGTGTCAGCACCAACATGACATCACATTTAAAGTTAAAAAACAAAGCCGTATGATTTTGTTATTTGAGCAATTTGAGGCTGAAATATCATTTGGTTCATTCTTTGTACTAACATTCAATTCCGAAAGCATTGCATGGAGGAACTACTGACAACTGCAACACAATGAAGTGGTATTCCATCATCAGTTCTCTGTGTGTCAACCTATGACATCACAGATGACATCACCAAGCACAAGGAACACATGCAGTAAAACATTATCTTACATTTGCTTAAGGCGACCATAGATGGATCAAAGCTAGTCTGGCTTACCAGTGATCAAACGAGATTCTATCCATCTATGGGCAGGCTGGTTGTATTCATGTTGGTCATTCGATCGACCTGGGTACAACCAGGCTATCGGATTTTCTTTTTACACTTTGATTGCTGTTACAATGAAAATCACTGTAATGTGTTACATTCATAACAGCTGTGATTACTAGTGATCTGTGATTGGCTACAGGTAATCACATGGTACAGTGTGCTGTGATTGTCCCAGGTACAGGGGCAGACTGACCATTTGGAAACTCGGGCACTGCCCGAGGGCCCGGGGTCAGTAGGGGGCCCCATGAGATGCCCCTGGTACCTTTTTCATAGGCTTTTTTGAGTTTGGGCAAGGACACAGGGGCCCCATGATCCCCTATTGCCCGGGGGCCCCATGAGTTGTCAGTCCGCCCCTGCCCAGGTATCATGTGATAGCCATGGGCCAGTCACAGCTCACTGGTGAAGGAAGCAGAGCTGTTATGAATGACATTCATTCATAATCCCTAGTTACATAGTTAGTCTGGCTGAAAAAAGACAAAAGTCGATCCAGTTTTTTTGATCCAAAAAAGCTAAAAACGCGAAAAAACGTGGCATAAACGCTAATGCTAAAACACTGAAAAACTCAGGTTTTTAACATGACTTTACACAGCTAACGTTACCAATGTTATTAGAAACACCCCGTGTGCATGGAGCCTAAGGTTTCCTGCACACAAGCTCAAAAACGCCTGCTTTACAGGATTTTTTTTTTCTCTGCCTCTAAACGCCCCTGCATGCTAGCCTATGTGTCCTTGTACACATAGGCATTTACAGGAGTTTAGAGGCAGAAAAAAAAAACATCACTTCTGCATTCAGGAGAGTAGTGCTTTGGCTGAAAAAAAATTCCAAAACGCCTAAATGCGCCTCAGCGCTCGGCATGTGCTTGAGTATTTATTCATTTCAGTGGCCAGAGTATATTATTTTTCTGGACAATTGACCACTTGCCTACCGGGCACTTTCACCCCCTTCCAGTCCAGGCCAATTTTCAGCTTTCAGCGCTATCACACTTTGAATGACAATTGCGCGGTCATGCAACACTGTATACAAATGACATTTTTATAATATTTTTAAACAGATAGAGCTTTCTTTTGGTGGTATTTAATGACCCCTGGGTTTTTTTTTTTATTTTTTGCTAAACAATTGAAAAAAGACCAAAAATGTTGAAAAAAAAAAAACCCTTTTTCTATGTTTCTGTTATAATATTTAGCAAATAAGTATTTTTTGTCCTACACTGATGTATGCTGATAGGCTGCCTTGATGGGCACTAATAGGCAACACTGATGCGCACTGATAGGTGTCATTGATGGGCAGCACTTATGGACACTGATAATCAGTGCTCTGATCATCTGTGTACATGCTGCTGTCACACTTACCGGTTACTGGCTCTCCTCTCCTCATGCTGTGACAACGCATAAGGAAAGTACTGCCGAAAACTGGTAAGTGTGTTTACATCGTAATCAGCTGTGATTGGACACAGCTGATCACATGGTAAAGGGCTGCTGTGATTGGCCCTTTTTCCACAATATGTGATCAGCTGTGCTCAAATGTCACAGAGCGCACTGGGAGTGTTCCAGAGGGGGTCCGTGGGGGTGTGGTTCCAGGAGTATGTCAATAAATGCGCTCCTGGAACAACAGAACTGCTCTGTAGCAGAGGCGGACTGACAACTCATGGAGCCTCCGGGCAATACGGGATCATGGGGCACCTGTGTCCTTGCCCAAACTAAAAAAAAACTATGAAAAAGGTACCAGGGGCATCTTATGGGGCCCCCTACTGACCCCGGGCCCTCGGGCAGTGTCCGAGTTTCCAAATGGTCAGTCCGCCCCTGCTCTGTAGTCATCTTTCAGCTATTGCGTGGAAGGAAGTGATTAAATGAATGAACACCCAAGTGCTTGACATGCCTAAACACATTCACAATAATGCGGCTAAGGCTGGCCATACATTATACAATTTTTTTGAGATTTTTGGTTTAGATTTTCCAAAAACCATATAATAGGAGGTCAAAACTAACAACACTTTCAATTGTATCCAATTAGGCAGGCTCTTGCACTACATAGTTGAAGGTAAATCTAAAGGAAATTGGGCAGAAATTGGACAGAAAATTGTATAGTGTATGGCCAGCCTTATGCCGACCATAGACGGGTCGAAAATCGGGCGATTTTTTGGCCGAAAAAAAAAATCGGCTGATTTTCGCACCATTAGTGGGTTAATTGGTCGGCCATTTTTGGGGCTTTTTGCACATTTTTTTTATCGGGCATGTTGGAAAATTCATGGCTGATTTTGATGATTGGCCGATTTTACCAGCAATGATGGGCAAATCAACCGATCGCTTTACCGATAAAAAATCTGAAAGAAGAAGAAGAAGATGCAACAATGTATCCATTTGTATCCAAATAAAACCATCTGTATCCGAAATGGATACATTGTTGCAAACCGAAAGACTTTTCATATAAAATATAATAGCGGGCTGGAATTTTTCTTCTTTTATTCTTCTTCTTCATATGTATTGCTCCCCTGTCTCTGAAAGGGACAGAATTAATTATGGGGTTAAATGCCAGCCATAGATGGGACGAAAATTGGCCGATTTTGTTACCGTTGGTGGTAATGTCGGCCGATCGAACAACCGATTTTTCATTTTTTTATTAAAAAAACGGCCGATTTTCAACCTGTCTATGGCCTGCATTAGGTGCATTTTTGAAGCTGCTTTTCTGCTTCCAGGAGAAAGCATTTAGAATAGCCCCCCCCCCCCATGTGTGCATGGGGTCTGAAAGCCTCCCATTTGATGAAGATCACGTCTTTTGTACACGTGCCATGTCTGAGGATCTCTGTGTTCATTCTTTTTTCTGCTTTGTAATCTTTACCTTTCTTATGTAATTCCTTTCTTCTAAATAAACTTCCAAAAACGTTTGCCATGGGCAGAGGTGATTGATTTCCATATCAGCTACAGCGCTGCTCTAGGGGTTCCCCCTTTAATTTTCGTTCTACAAGTGGACCACAGCTGGGATTTCTCACCCGGCAGAAGCATCGATAGCTCACATCATTACTAAGGGAGGTGATTTGTTTTGATTAGCGGATGGAAGATGTATTATTAACGTGGAAAAAATTTCAATTGGCGTCTTAACACCTGCGCCTGATCAGATCAAATGCCATCATCTGTATCTGTCACGGTTTTCTAATGTTCTTGGTTGCGGCTCCAAACTCGGAGACTGCTAGGGGGTGTCTGAAATCCATTACATCGGGAGGACATTTGGCCTGACATGCCGCTAGCTTTGTGTGCAAGTCCTGAGGATTTTTTATTTGCCTATTTTTTTATATGGTTTGTCCATATGCCATGACTCTGCGCACGGGGATAGAGCGACTATTGCCATTGGGGCTTCGAGACAGGTCCACTTCTAAACACTACCATAGTTACATAGTTAGTCTGGCTGAAAAAAGACAAAAGTCCATCCAGATAAACTATTAAAAAAAAAAGTTATAATCCTATACCCACAAGTTGATCCAGATGAAGGCAAAAAACCCAGCAAAGAATGATCCAATTTGCTTCTGCAGGGGAAAAATTCCTTCCTGATCCCCTGAGAGGCAATCGGATATTCCCTGGATCAACTTTACCTATAAATGTTATATCCAGTTATATTCTGTGTATCCAAGAAACAATCCAGGACTTTTATGTATACATAAAATATCCCCCCTTATGTATTATACATGGAGATCATATCCCCCCCTATGTATTATACATGGAGATCATATCCCCTCTTATGTATTATACATGGTGATCATATCCCCCCTTATGTATTATACATGGTGATCATATCCCCCTTATGTATTATACATGGAGATCATATCCCCCTTATGTATTATACATGGAGATCATATCCCCCCTTATGTATTATACATGGTGATCATATCCCCCCTTATATATTATACATGGTGATCATATCCCCCCTTATATATTATACATGGTGATCATATCCCCCTTATGTATTATACATGGTGATCATATATCCCCTTATGTATTATACATGGTGATCATATCCCCCCTTATGTATTATACATGGTGATCATATCTCCCTTATGTATTATACATGGTGATCATATCCCCCCTTATGTATTATACATGGAGATCATATCCCCCCTTATGTATTATACATGGAGATCATATCCCCCCTTATGTATTATACATGCTGATCATATCCCCCTTATGTATTATACATGGTGATCATATCCCCCTTATGTATTATACATGGGGATCATATCCCCCCTTATGTATTATACATGGTGATCATATCCCCCCTTATGTATTATGCATGGTGATCATATCCCCCCTTATGTATTATGCATGGAGATCATATCCCCCCTTATGTATTATACATGGAAATCATATCCCCCCTTATGTATTATACATGGAGATCATATCCCCCCTTATGTATTATACATGGAGATCATATCCCCCCTTATGTATTATACATGGTGATCATATCCCCCCTTATGTATTATACATGGTGATCATATCCCCCTTATGTATTATACATGGAGATCATATCCCCCCTTATGTATTATACATGGAGATCATACATGTATTATACATGGAGATCATATCCCCCCTTATGTATTATACATGGAGATCATATCCCCCCTTATGTATTATACATGGTGATCATATCCCCCCTTATGTATTATACATGGAGATCATATCCCCCCCTTATGTATTATACATGGAGATCATATCCCCCCTTATGTATTATACATGGAGATCATATCCCCCCTTATGTATTATACATGGAGATCATATCCCCCCTTATATTATACATGGTATATATCATGTATTATCATGGATCCCCCCCTTATGTATTATACATGGAGATCATATCCCCCCTTATGTATTATACATGGAGATCATAATCCCCCCTTATGTATTATACATGGAGATCATATCCCCCCTTATGTATTTTACATGGAGATCATATCCCCCCTTATGTATTATACATGGAGATCATATCCCCCCTTATGTATTATACATGGAGATCATATCCCCCCTTATGTATTATACATGGAGATCATATCCCCCCTTATGTATTATACATGGTGATCATATCCCCCCTTATGTATTATACATGGAGATCATATCCCCCCTTATGTATTATACATGGTGATCATATCCCCCCCTTATGTATTATACATGGAGATCATATCCCCCCTTATGTATTATACATGGAGATCATATCCCCCCTTATGTATTATACATGGTGATCATATCCCCCCTTATGTATTATACATGGAGATCATATCCCCCTTATGTATTATACATGGAGATCATATCCCCCCTTATGTATTATACATGGAGATCATACCCCCCCTTATGTATTATACATGGAGATCATATCCCCCCTTATGTAT